AGCATGGACAGGGCTCTCCTTGATGACAGCCCAACCTTGCTCTCTTTTTAAGAAACACACCTTGTGTTATTAAAGAGAGGCTCCACGAGTGAGCACACCACCTTGCACCAACCACGTGCACTGGGGAGGTTTCGATGCTGGCCCAGCACCTCCGTAAGCAGCAAGGTAACACTTTGATATGGGCTTCAGTGGGATCAGGAACTGTTGAACTTCACCATTTGAGGCAAAACTCAAAGGACACATTCCTGTGTTCATCAGCAGCCACGCTGTGGCAGAGCAGCCCAGCCTGGCCAGAGCCTAAAAGCAAACCTCCAAACCAATCTGTATGCATGGCTCTTACCAGGCGTTAACTGCAACCAGAACCAGACCTCCCCACACTGCCAACGCTACGAACGCAGAACAAATTTCTCAGGGTTTCCAGCCAGCTCTAGGATTTGCGAACAGCAGAGAAGCAGGAGGTAGCAAGGGAAGTAATCGAAGCTCCTATATATCATATTGATTAAAACACGAGGACTGCCCTTCAAGGATGAACCTCGCATCGGGAGGGAGATATATCGGCTGGCCTGTAAGCTGCTTCCAGCTCTGCCTGCAGCCATCAGGACATCTGACTACATTGTCATAGATAAAAACAAAGCTGCATCTTCAGCCCCTCTGCAGACGAGAAATAGTCCAGGAGAGACACACGTCTTCATTAACCCCTCAGGAGCAGAAAACCAAAGCAAATAACAACCAGAATGCCGCACAGATGGAAAGCATTTTGACAACGAATCCTTTGAAGGCAGATGATTTTTCGGTTGTGTTCACACAAAAAGAAAAATGCACCTCTGCCTAGCAGAAAGGGTTGCACAGCACTCGGGTTGCCTAAGAGTCCAATTTCCAAGCCCCAGAGGACGGATTTCACCCACGGGCCACTGCTTTTTGTTGGCAGGAATTCCAGCCGGGCGTGGGTTGCTCCTCTGCTACCCAGGCTGCAGGAGCAAGGCACAACAAGCTGACACCAGCGCTTCCTCCGGGCAACAGCTGCCCAAATGTGGCATTGCTCGCATCTCCCGCTTCAACATGAGAGCAAACGGGCCTGTCTGAAGGCTGCACCAGCAGGTGCACATTGCCCTTCAGCTGTACACACTCACAAAGCACAATTACAGCAAGAAGATAAAAAGTTGTGTGTTTTTTTTCTTTGCAGCCCAAGCATGGCACACCTGTGCAGCAAAGACTGGAGTGGGAGGAGCAGAGAACAATTCATACCAGCACAGATGGGAGATGCTCTTCTTTCCTGCAGATGGCAACTGGATCCTGGCGAAGCCCCAGCCCCGTGCTGCTGGAGGAGCTGGTGGATGCCTTGCAGCAGAGGAAATGCCTGCGCCCACCCTGGAGAGAGGCAGGCGCCCTCAGCCCGTAAACATCTTCTGAACTGGCCGGGTCTTCAGGCAAGAAATGTCAATGCCGTGGTCATACACGGGTAGAGAAAGATGCTGGTGACCACAAAATGCAGCACTTTGAGGTTATTTCTTCCCCTGTTACCAATCTCACCTGATCTAAGCTTCATCCCTCCACCACGCAATTATCCAAATTGCATTCAGACCTTTGTTCTTCACAAGTGAAACCTCTCTTTTCAGGTGCAAAAAGAGGCTGAAGAAGATGGCATTACAGTTGGGCAGGCATGCAGTGGCTTGGCATGCTGATATGGCTGCCCCTTCATGGCTTTTAAAATCTCTGCTCCCACTCTTTTCTACCGTATATTTTCCATCTGTCAGTGTGTAAGCCTGAAGGACCATTTTGCAAACTCTTTTGACCACCTTTGACCAACCCACTTTGGCCTAAGTGATATTTTTGGGAGATTGATTTAGCAGCTCATCACCTTTCAAGTGCCAAGAGTGGCAAATGCACCCCTGGAGATCTTTCTAGCACACCATCACCTCACCCCTCTTATTAACAAGACTATCCGTCTCCAAAAGCTGCAGAGCTCTGCTTACGCGCCCTCTGCAAACATGATGGGGAGCAATTTATGGCCTTACTATTTTGAAGTAGCAAAGGTGCGGACACAGACAAGAGCCCAGGGCCAGGCTGTGATGCTAGTGAGAAGTAGAAACACTGAGGGACACCACAAGCCACTGCTCTGCACCAAGAGCATCCCCTGCCTGGCTGCAGCAGTGGTGGTCAGGGAGGTGGGGTCACCCAAAAAATGACTGTCCTCCCCCTGGCTGTCGGTGGCAAGGGGGCCCCAAGCAGCAGGAAGCAGGGCTACACCCAATTTATTCCCTGTAGCCAGCTGTCCTGCAGTAGCAACGACCTTGGCTTGTTTGCAGTTGTCTTTGAGACAGTGACCCAAGTTTCCAGCACATTCCTGACCTCCTTCATAACAACTTCCTGAAACTTTCTTGCTGCGATCGATGCCTTTGGTGCACTATTGCCTTCTTTCTGTTTATTTTATTTAGTTTCACTGCCATGCCTTTGAACCTCGAGTTTGCTGCCCTGCAGTCAGCAGGGACCTGGCTTTTTCATGTTTTCACAGCAGAGTCACTCCAGGATGACAAATGCTAGAAATAAATGATGGATCAACCCACTGAGCATCTGGCATTTTTTGGAACTCGCCTCGAGTCTTTGGCTTTCCATCCTTCTTAATACAAATTCAAATCCCCACAGCTGAACAGGGGTTTGGAGAGCTCCCAGCTGACAACCAAGGACACGGATGCCCTGGACACCAATGGGCTCACCACAAAAACATTCACCCAGCTCAAGTGCCGCTTGATCCCATGCTCAGATTGCTTGAAACACCGGGCCAGGAGAGAGCCCTGGGCAGGGAGCTCACCCAGGCCATCAGCAGCACCTGGGCTGAGCAGCTTCCCACCCACAACTGCTCATTGATGAGTTGGTTGGGCCCATGGCCATCAGGAGCCACCTGCCAAAGGGTCTTTGTGCTTTCTTACCCACAAAGGATAAGTGGCAATCTGGGAACCATCACTAGATGCATCCCAGGATCCAGCCAGTGTGAGACAGGAGGACAGGACCCAGCTCAACACACAAGCACACAACCCACAGGTCCAGGAGCTAGGACTGCCGAGGGGTCTTTGCTAAGCTGCATTTCACTGTGACAGCGAGAGCCTGTAAACTACACCAGCAGTACAAAGGCAGGCATAGAGCATCTAAATGCTCTGTCTCTGAATTTCCCCAGGAATCTGAAATCCTTGAGATCACACACGCGTGCACGCATGACACTTCTGTTCAACTGGATGAGAGTGGAAGCATTATGCACAGACAGCTGACATAATTTTCAATGAGAAAAGTAGATACTGTGACAGCTGGCTGCTGGTTAGGTCAGTAAGAGTTTGAGGGTGGCTGAGGACAAATTATGTTGGTTTTCTTTTTTTTTTTTTATACATTCATCTCTTCTCTCAACATGCACCTACTTTCCTTAGCTTAATCACCACGAGGTATCTCCTTATATCCCCACACCAAACACCTCAAGCCAAACTACAGCACGGATGGCCATCAGGTTTCCAGCCTGACTTGTGCCACTGCTCTTTACCCCCCAGCACAGCCCACGTAGCCCTGGCTGCATCCGAGCTGTTTGCAGGCGGCAACTCTGGTAAAAGCTAAACCCAGGTAAAAGCTGCAGTAGCCAGTTGGGGTGCAATGCATCAGGGCCTTTTCTAAGCTCTCAAGAAAAGTGGACACTTTGTGTGATTCCCCATCCTGCTTCTCCAAATAACCCTGACTTTCTATCTTATGGAATAGTCTCATCTAATAAAGCTATTACGGTTTACATAATAACAAAAATAAACTCCAACTGCCCCTTTTTGCAAGCTCTTCGTATTTCCTTAGGTGGTTTTACACCAAAACCATCCCTCATCAACAGGTGGTCGTTACTGGATCAGAACAAACAAACCTACCTTTGCTTCTCCAGTTACTTCCTAGGAAAAAAAGGAGATAAGGAAGAGGAGAAAAAGTGTGCGTGGGCAAGTGACAAGCGTAGCTGGAGTAAGGAAGAGCAGTGCTCATTGTTTCATGAAATTTGCCATATGTTGTGTGGCTTCATTACTCAAATCTTGTATGTGCTTGTTTGATGATTTGATCAGCTGTTGACTTCATTTCATACTGCTGCCAATTCATGACTTGGCTGATTAGATTTGAGTTGCAACCCCAACTCAAGGATCACATTTTGCTCATTTTCAGTCATTTTAGTTACTAAGAAAAAAAAAAAAAAAAAAGAAAGCAGTCTGCGTTAGAGGTATTTTAAATGATTTGTGTCCCTACAGAGCCGCCCGCCGGGTGGAGGCACAGGCACAGGCAGCCATGGCATTCTGCTCCTCTCTTCCACAAGCTGCTGGGACATTTCCAGGCTACAAGGTAAATATTTTGAAGGTTTTGAAGAGTATAGAGAAGGGACTCAATGGGCCACCAAGGCTAGTTTCCTGCAACTACAGATAAGAATATTTTATCTTCCTTCATATCTTTCCCATGTAAATTTACTAACACAGAGCTTTCCAGAGTGACAGCATTCCCTTCTCCTGGGGGTTATGTGCTGGTACATATGAACCACAGGGTAAATGACAGCTGTTGCTTGTTCCCCTGTAAGCATTTTATAAAAATTTACATGAACAGATGAAACCTGTTTGCTGCTGCTCAGATCTAGATGCTTTCTTCAACAGCCACAACATCAGATAGAGATGGGCAGAGCTCCAGAGCCACGTTTGCCCTCACTGCCTGTAGGAGCAGTGCCCAGGGCAATGCTAACGTGTCCCCTGCAAACACAGACCTTCCAACAGTGGTGTGGTTTGGCCCTTCACTCCAGAGAAACCCTGCCATGTCACAGGAATCACCAATGTCAAAAGAGACTGGATGTTAAGGAACAGCAGTAGCTCCATCCTGCACTCGGTGTCTCTGCAAGGAGGGCACGGAGCAGCCCAGCAGCGACAGAAGGTGGCAGCGCAAAGTGACAGGGAAAAGCTGGTGAAGAAAAACTGCATCTGGAAGAGCTGCAATTAACATACACCAAGGGATCATTTACTCTTGAGATATGTTTATTTTTGCTGGATTTTGGATGGAGATGCAGAAAATGCATTAAACACGAACGTCTTTCATCTGAATGTGTGTGCCTGTGAACATGTAGCATGCCTGGAAATACACAGCACACAGATCAGAAATCCTCCCACGACACACAGAAAAGCGGGCAAGAAACTAAGATACAGCCACAGTGGCCCAGTGTGTTGGTGTGCGCTGCTCACCAGCTGCTTCTGGTGAAACACAGAAGACAGCAAGGTCTACGCACCAAATAGACCACAAACAGCTGAGTGAGCCATGGCCACTTAGCAGTGGGAAGAAAAGTCAGGGTGGAAGATGGACGTAAAATATTGGGAAAATATCCATCCAGGTTCACGAACTGAAAACCAATCTCATGTCACTTGCCCAGTTCTCTGTTCTCACTTATTCACAGGCCTGGCTTTCCCAGCAGTAGCAGAGCAGGTCTAGCACAGTTACACAGGGAACTTGACAGAAATACCACCAGCCATCAGAGGGGAGCTGCAGCAGCACCGAGCTTAACGAGGCTCATGACCATTGCAAGGTGAACTCTAAAAATGGATTATTTTTTCCCTTAAGGCAGCAGGGATGAGGTATGCTCCAGATTTCTGATCACACCACACACCTGAAGGACAAAAGGATCTGAGCAACAGTGCCTTAAACCGTAATAATGACAATTAATTTCCAGACCCCAGAAACAATAGACAGCAGAGTTTTAATTAAAAAGTTTGAAAAAGACTCAGGTAGAAGGAGAGATTTATGACCTGGTTTCTGTTCTGCAGAGGAACCGAGCATCTGCAGTACCCGCTAAAGCGGGAGGGATTTATGGGTGCCCAGCACCTGTGAACGTGAGGCCATATTTGTCTTGTCTGCTCTGCAGATGGGGAGGAAGCCATGGAAATAACACTTTTCACTTGGAAATCTATTGCCTTTTAGTGGGAGCTCTCACTCCCTTCCTATCCTTTCAGTATTGGTTGTTTTTCTCTGCTGATATCCCCACAAGATTCAGAACAGAGAGGGATGGGAAAGGTTTATTCTGCATCCCTTTGGGCTGCCAGCTGTGCAACGGGCCATGCTGTGCAGTCCCCCTGCCCTGCCTTGCTTGGCAGGGCTCTCCTTGCAACCCCACATCACCCCCACCCAGCAGAGACATGCTTGTGCTACCCCTTGGTAGCTCCTTGATATCCTCACAGCCCCCATGGCTCACCCTGCTCTCACAGGCACCACGTCAACCTGTGAGCCACCCCACAGACTGACCCCATCCCATCCCCTCTCCTCCTTTTCAAGCTGGAGAGGAAGAGGAGAGGAACCAAGAGGCGAGCAGCCCCAATGCAGCTGACTGTCTCCCTCTTGGCTGGCCCGTTTGTGGACCAGGGCCCTCATCACATCTCCGAGTACTCACAGATTTAATGAACACTGCCTGGTAGCTTGCTGGTCCTCATCCCCTCCCTCGCGTTTGGATTCACACTTCATTAACCAAGAAATGTTTTTCCTTGGGGGTTTGTACTTCTTCCTCCTTTGACCCCAGCTTTCTACTCATTTTCAGTCTACTTCATGCCTGGCCCTGGGAAGAAGAAAAAAATGAAGCAATTATGACCCGGATCAGCAGCCAGGAGAGGAATCGGTGTGGGAGATGAGATGCCCTCAGGTCTGGCGGCTAATGACCGCCTCTGAGTGATGAAAGGAGCTCAGAGGGAGCTGACATCCATCCCAGCACACCCTCTGAGCTGCCCTGCTCAAAGGGGGCTGGGGGCACTGCAGGGCCATGGCCGTGCTGAGGCACGAGGAACCCAACCCAGGCTCAGCCAAGCTGCCAGCAGTGAGAGCCAGGCACAGGGCAATGCTGCCCCTGTCCTTCCCGGTGGAGGCAGGCAAGGATTTGCTTCTGACACTGCTGCAGCAGCCGCTGCTCTGTGCCTCAATTCCCCCCCCTCCAAGCACCAAAGACATCTGTGCCTGCTCTGGGACACTCTGTCTCTGCAGTGAGGCTCATCAGGGACAGGAGCCATCTGCCTGAGCCTCTACCCAGGGCCACACACACAGATACTGCCCCTGGGGAGCCAGCTGCTGACATGAAGCAGTGCTCTGGACTTGGGTCAGACCGTAAATCCATGGCAGCAGCAGGGCAAGGCCGGGCATGGCGGGCACAGCCCCAGCCCCTCACTGCGTGCACCAGGATCTGGGCACACTCTCAAGAGGGATGATTCCTCTTCTGGCACTTGAAGACAAAGCAGTTTGCCATGCACCTTGTCAGGCAGGGATTAATCATTTTTAATTTCTTCAGACTTGCACATCAGAGAACTTCTTTCCCCCCCCTCCACCTCCAAATACACCATGGGTGGTTTTCCTGCAACAAGTGAGGTGGAGGGAAGGGGGCAGCTCCTCATTTATTTACTTCCCCATGGAAAGCCCTCAGCTGTTAGCACTTAGCAGTGCAATCCTGTGTTATTTGGAGGGGGGATGCCCTGTCAGTGGCCAGTGCTGGGGCACCCTCCCCACGTGGCTGGCAGCAGCAAGGAGGAGTCGTGGCTCCCCGCAGCCTCCCCCTGTACTGTACAGCAATAAATCTTTTTGCCTGTGGTTCTGACATTTGGCTACACAGGAAAGACAGAGCCACCCACTGCGAACACGGTCCGCTCATTACTGCTGCTCTTTCAAACCTGTTTAGTTTGTGAGGGGTTTTTTGAGCTCCACTCTGGCATCATCAGGGGCCCGGAGATTAGCATGTGAATTTGGGCTTTCCCAAAGTCTAAGGAATTTGAAGTTTTGAAGCAGCACCACAGGCACTGAGACCCTCTGCTGGGTGTGGCCTGTGGAGAGGTGGTGGCCAGGGCTGGGTGCTCCTCGCCCCTCAGCGCCACGTGTGACAGGAGAGCAGCAGGGCGGGATACAGCCCTACAGACAAGCCTGGTCTAATCCCACAAGCCCCATTCCTGTGTCTCTTTGGACTTGATTTTGTTTCTGTCTTGCCCTGTCACACACGTTTCCCATTCAGAGGGGTCAAACGATCTCAGCAGGTCCGAGCCCACAGAGGAGGAAATCCCCAGCAGCTCAGGGAGGCCACAGCCCCACAGCCAGGGCAAGGCCCAGCTGCTGGGTCTTGCCCCATGGGTCCATTTCTGCACCCAGAGAAAGCTGTTCACTGGTGGGCAGCTTTGTAGGATGGAAAACAAGAAGCTAACCCCCAAACCACATCTTAATTTACAACCACAGAAAGGGCAGCTGCTCTTGCTGTCCCCAGAAACACACAGCCCGGCCCAAAGCAATGAGTACAAAGCAGGGGAGCTTCAGCAGCTGCACTGAAATTCTCCACAGCTCGCAGCATCCCTCCTACAGGTGGGCGGTCTCCTCTCTGTTGTTGGCCTAAATCACATTTCAGCTTTCCAACGGCAGGACCTGCTATTTAACATTGCCTTAATCTGCCCCCTCTCAACACTCCTCTCTGTCAGCCTTGCAAGAAGTAATTATTAAACATTCATTTAATCTTGGGGAAAGCTGAAAGGCAGTGAATTTATTCACCAAGGAGACACACACACCACACACCCTGGCCTTTGCTGAATTGCAGCTGTGCCACAGACTGCCTTGGAGAGCTTCCAGAGGCGCCTGGCATCCTTCAGGCACAGCTTGAACGCTCCCTGGAAAGTGGATACTGAGCAAAAGTGGGAGCCCAGGCAGGGTCCACCTCTTCTCCCTACCACTAGTTACACTGCCACTAAACCACATTACAATTAAACCCCTCTACCAGCAAGTGAGGTTACAGTTAATGAAGAATTTGAGAGCAGACCTCATTTAGCTGTACTGAAAAGCTGCCCTCACACAGGCACAACATCGCAGATGAAAGGAGCATCACATCCAAAAATATACTCCCATATCACAGAAGTGCTCATGCATATGACGACAGGACACCAAGGACACATGAAGAGGTGCATCTCCTTCCCGTGGCTGCTAACTCAGACAGATGAGCACAAGCCTGCAGAGCCAATTCAAATATTTGTGAGCCAGTGATTGAAGGCAGGTGTCTGTGCTAGTTTGCTTGCTGTTGGCTTGCAAATATAAGGCTGCTACAAAAAGAGTGGTCAGCTTTCTCTGCTACCTTCTCCTTCTTTCCCCAATAAGCATTTACAGCTACAGAAGGCAGAAGCTTCCTGCAAGGAGGTACACTTGCTTACACCACTTCTACATTTCTCCCTTGTTGAAATGAACAATTCTCGCTTACCTTTGCCAGTTTTGCAAGCTACAGAAATATACGATCTACCAGCTCTTAAAAAACCTTGTCTAGGGGTTGGTTCACAGACCGCTCCAAGAGAAACAACCACATACCTGCAATGGGTAGGGGCTTACAAAGTGTGCTCCTCAGGTTTTCTACCCCAGCTGGTAGCTGGGCCTGCTTCTTGCTAGAATCAGGCTGAAGGCTTATTATCAACTGAGAAATCCCTGAAGAAAAAAATAAAAACTCCGGATTTCATTGTATTTTTGTATAAAATGTAACTAGGGAAAAAGGTCCTCAAAACCACAGCCTAAGAAAAGAGCTCCCAAGCTGGGCACTCGCTGTCTGCTTAATAAAGCTTTGCCTGATGGGAAAAGCTGCCCCAGCTGCATAAAGGTGGCTTTCAGGCACTCAGTCCTGTTTGGTGGAGGGAGAGCACTGGCAGGGCTGGGAGCAGGATGAGCAGGGGTATGTCCCTAAGACATTCTGTGGGCTTTTTTTTTTTTCTTTTCCATTTTAAAATATAATTGTCAGCTCTGATCTCACACAGGATTCCACCTAATTCCTTGCATGTGAAAGCAGACCGCAGAACAACTGATGTGAATTTGCCACACAGCATTATCTTCATCTGCTTGTGTCCCCGCCTGCTAGAGGCAGAGCACAGCCTTGGCAGATGTTGTCCTGCAATGGTTTTGTGGTCCTCTGTGGTTTCTTTTCCCCTCCAGCTGCCTGAGGGGAAGGAGCATGTTTCTCTTCCTTCTTGGCTGGAGCAGAAGCAGAGGTGAATGTGACTCTTCTGCCTGGCACTGCTCTCCCCTGCAGCCTCCTGTGACGGGCTCTGCCAGCCTCACTGACAGCAGATGTCAGGACGCTACTGCCAGCCTGCATGAGGCACAGGCTGAGCATCACCACAGCAGATGATTTCTGTGACCTATGAGAGCCGTCAGCTGTCAGGGAGGTAAAGCAAGCAGGTGAGTTTTAAACAAAGATCTGGCATTTGGAGGGTTCAGAATAATGTCTGCAGCTCTACCAGATAAGGTAAAATTTATTATTAAAATAAAATTAAAAGGTTCATCAGCTCTTGTTTCCCCTCTGTGCTTCTGCACACCAGGGTACAAACAGGGCTTGGCTGTGGTGCTGCTCTGTTGGTCTGGGGTAATGAGGTGCCTTGGGCATCTTTTCACAGCACTCCATTTCTTCCTCAGCCCATGTTCACCTCTGTGCAAAGTACTTCACAGTGGGAAGCTCTACCAGAAATCACACTGCCCTAGGGGAAGGAAGCAACAGCAGCATGTATCTGTGGCACCTTCGCTGTAGGAGCACCATCTTGTAGGGCTTCCTAGCCAGCAGAGGAAACTGGATACTAAATGTGCTCTCATGCACGCCAATAATTCCCCTGCTTTGAGTCCCATTTCACGTATAAAGACCAGAGAGGTGTCAAGCGATTAGTAGCACCTTAGATTTGTGTAATTAGATCAAGTCTCCAGAAAGCTGTCTGATGCAATGTCTGCAAGGAAACCGGACACGGTGAATCCTGAGCCTCCTCAAACCGCTTTGTTTCGCCTGGAGATTTCCTTACTGAGGACTTCATGAGGGAACAGGGTGAGCGCTGCCAGCCTGTGTTCGGCTTCCAGTGCCTTAAACAGAAGTGATGTGGCCGTCGGGAGGGTGTCAGCTCCTATTGGGGTTATCTACAGAGCCAGGACAGGAGGGAAGGAGATGCCTGGGAGCACCAGCGCAGGATGGAGAGAGTGCCGCAGGACTTCAAGTTCAGGACCCAGAGCATCCTGTAAGGGCACACAGGGTTTTTATCCTCATTCCAACACAATGGGTAATTAAGGAGCAGCAGGTTGAGACTCTTAGGCTGCCTGCAGCTGGAAACAAACCTCTTGCAGAGGCTCATGTCTATGTTCAGCCCACAAGAGCAGAAGCCAAGTGAGTACAGCCATGATGGGAGCAGCAGTGCTTAAGCCATACTGAAAGCTTGCTACCGGGTCTATTTCAAGCAATACTTCTTCCCTTCTACCTTCCTCATTAAGAGGGGGACACTCCTTGCTTCATTCATATTCACTCCAGACCTCTGACTTTCCAGTAACTGCTGCATGGGCTCAGAGAGCAAACAGAGCTGAAAGGCAGTGCCTCTGAGCTCTTTAGGACACAGGCTCCAAATACAGATCCAGAAAAAGCAAAAAGAACCAAAACCACTTCAGAATTTGCCTTTTTGAAAAAGTCATTTCTACAACAAGGCTTGTTTCACCCTCAAGAGTCTCCAAGTCCACTAAAAATAGTGCTGATGTTGACAGTACTTCAATCTGATGGGCTGTTTGCGTGCCTCCTGAAACACAGCCTAACCAAAGCGACACCGTACTGTTGGTCATTTGGGACAGGCAGCTTGTTCTGTGCTTTTAAAAATCTGTGTTATGAAGTAAGAGTGGGGGTGTATCTGCACAACCAGGCCAAATTATCTTACTAGCTTTGGTTAGTTAGCAACTCAGGCAGAGGTTAAAAAAGGGGGGAGGGGAAGAGTTACAACCTTCTCCCAGAAAAAGAAATGAAACCTACCAGTCTTCATCTATTTAAGGTTCTTGGGATTCTTCCTGGTCTTTCTTTGGGAAATACCCTGTGATAACTTTGACAGAGAAAGGACATCAGAACCTGGCCTCTCCCCTTGCAATGGGATCTGTGCCTTTTGTCCTGTGTGCAGCTCTTGGCACCCGGAGGGGTGTGCTTCAGGGCAGCCGTCTGGCCCTCAGGCTAACTATAGCACAGGAACTACCATTATCAACATTTGCATTCCCCAAATTCCTTTGCAGATCTCCACTGGGATAATATCATAGTTATTCTTTGTTTGCAAATATAGATACTTTACCGGACTAATTAGCTGGGAACTGCATTTAAATTGATGCCACATGACACAATTTGAGTTTTGTTAAACAGTCATGTTATGAAAAAGTGACCTTGGCTCCGTAAGCCTGGGGCATGAGTGATTCGTGTTCAGCAGATGGGAGGAAGGAAAAAGGTTGAATGCAAACCAAACCAAGGGCTTGCAGAGAACAACAGGTTACAGTGAAACTGCTGCCACAGCCGGCCCCTTATTGGGCTCCATTGTACAGGTGGAGACACAGAGGCCCACGGAGATCAGTGCTGGAATTAACTCCAATTAGCTGGAATTAACTCCACAATTACTAACGTGCTCAGGCCAGCCCTCATTCTAAAAAGTGATAAAAATATTTTAAAACCTTCTATAAATAATATGCCTTGTTTTCTCTCATTGGAGGTTACAGACTGTGATAATCTTCTAGCAGCCCAGGTGCTGCTCCTGCGTGATTGCCTTCCCCTGCAACTCGTGTGATTAAGGCCGGAGCAGGGATGGGTTTCACTGGGGTAATTTCTAAATTAAGCCCTTAAGTATCCAACTAATTTTGATTTCACCAGGAGTTAAGCACCTGCTTAGCTCTAAGTACCTGCTTAAACACGGGGCTGAAGTGGGGCTCGGTGGAGGCTGATCCTGACGGTGCTGGGAAGGTTCAGGCTGAGCAGGGAACCTCTGCCTGCACGGTGAAATCAGAGTGGTGCAGCAACACGTTCAAAGCAAAGCCCGCTGCCAACAATTTACATTGCTCAAAAGCGTGTTTTCATCCCACCTGAGGGCTGCCGCATCGCCTTGCAATTTCTGAGACTGACAGGCTGCCAGTGTAAAAGGCCCTTGGCCGCTCAGGAACAATTAATTGGTGACACTGGCAATTATGCTGGGATTGATCACCTCCCTCCTCAGGTTCATTCAGACTGCAGCAATAATGATAGCGCACCATGCTCTCTGGTTATGACAGGACTTGATTTGTGGTCTTTACAGAAATTAATTGGAGTTCAAATCAACAGTCTCAGAAGCTAAGTTCATAATATCTACAAAGAAGTGGCAAAAATCTCCACTGCGGCTCTTCCATTTCATGCCAGTTTGCAAGTTGAAGGTGGTTTTTTGTTTGTTTGTCTGTTTTTAGTGGCAATATTAATGGGAAATGCTCTTTTCAGCAGGGAGGCAAAAATACGTGTACCTGTGCTGAACACCTCAATAGCACAAGGGGATATTTAAGATCTGTATGCCTAAAAAAAGTTGGGCAACATCATTTGTAGGCCAGAAGTACTAGCAGTGAACAGTGGCCAAGCTGAATATTGCCAAGTTTGAATCGGAGGGTATAAACAGCTCCATTTTAAAAGCTTTTTCCTTCCAAACTCTCCTCTGGTATTGTGTAAACGGTGAACCTGAAGCAAGAGCAAGGCAGACAAGAGTTGTGTGGCTGCTGCTGAGCACACCGTGCCATTGGGAGGGCTCTGGCTGAGGGCTCTGCAGGGCAGCGGTCATCTTTCTGCTGTGTCCTTGTGCAGCTCCAGATAACAAGTGGGCTTCCATGCTCCTAAGGTAAGAGCAATAACATTAATGATAAACTCGTGTGTTGATGCTGAGAACAAGGGAGCAGACCACTGGAGCCATCTTCTTGAAGGGAGGGACCAACCCAACAAGTCAAAGGCCCAACTTTTTGCTCCTCACTGTCAGCTGAGGTCCTGTGATGATCACAGAGGCTTTGTGCCTCAGTTTCTCCTCGTGGTATCACACATGTCACAGAGCTAGTAGCAGGGAGAACAGCACCCAATGCCTTGCCTTGCTTGAGGTATGCAACTGCAGTTAGGGACAGCTGCTGCAACAGATAATCCAAAGACCAAAAGCAAAAGGATCTGTGCAAGCTGTCCTGCTCAATCCGGTTACACCCACGTCCTAGGAACAGCAGGCCCCTCTCCTCCTGCTCCTGTTACTCACCTGGGGACACCACCTAAACGAGCCGTGCCCGAAGGAAGCTATTTCTGCTCTTGGGTTAGTGACCCATCAGCTTTACTCCGCTCCTGATTCATCCCAGAGGCTGTTGCCTGCTGCCCCGATAGAGCCCCGCTCGCTATTTCTGCAGGCAGTGCAACGCAGGCCGCGACAAATCAAACCATAATTCAGTCCAAATCTGAGCCATACATCTCTGCTTAAACAGCACGGTCTAGGAGCAAAATGGAAACAGAGTGATTTTCATGCTGAAGGACTAACGTGGCACCGTGGAGTTTGTAGGTACCTGCTGTAGCAATCACAGGAAATATCATACGATTTAAACTGATAAAATGAATAAACCAGAGGCCCTGGGCTTTTCTGTATAAGCCATTGTGCTGTATTTAATGTACTTGCTGCTTCCAGCTTTATCAGGTGTCCTAGACAGTAAAAAGCTGTAAAAAAGATTGGAACTCTCCCTGAGACTACTGTGGTGCCTCTTTGTCCAAATTACAGGTTTTTATATGCAGTTGCTAGATTGCGGTCTTTTATGTTAGGCAAATTTTAATTTAGAAGAAGTTGAGATGATTGATTCTGGATTCAAAATATTATTTTCTTTGAAATTTATCCTATTTCAAGCTAAAGAATTAGGCTTAGAGAAAAAAATCACAGTTATGCAGATAATTAAGAAGCAACCAAACCCACCAAATGCTGCAGTACACCCAATTAACGATGACTGAATGTGACCCTGTAAGGAGAGAGGGGAAGATTCAATCTAAAATATTCAGGACCCGGTTTTCCCCCTCCTTCCCATCACCAGTTTCATTGATCTCACTACCTGAGTAGCTACAGCAGAAACCACTGTCTCCCTCAACCTTCTCGTATAATTTCAAGTTATTCTAGAAATTAAAACGAGAAACAGATGTACAGAAATTTGGTAAATTCCGCCTGATATGCAGATGAATTCACCCCTCCAAGTCTTCAAAGGGACTGGGGTGGCCTATGAGCTTGGGCTCCCCTCCTCCGCTGTGCTGAACAGAAAATTGGGGATATAAACAAGGTACACAGTGAACCTTGCGGAGCAAGTGGGAGAAAGCATGAATAATTTCCATGTGTGTAATCAGTACGCTGAAGTCAGCGCTAGACACTTCACACGACATGTGCATTCCAGCTGCAAGGTGCGTTTGCAGGGTAGCTCACCCACCTGAAATACAGGCAGGAAATACGGTTTTTCCAGTGTCTGAGTGTAACAAGATAACGCAGCTGAGCTTAACCCTGCCTACACCAAGACCATGGCAGGGAGAAGCCCAGAGGGCCGTTCACATGCTTCAGGCATCTCGCTGAATCGGGAGCCGGAGTGAATCTTGCTGTCGGGCGGTGTTTTTATCTTCTGGCAGGGGAGCAAAATCGCTGGTCTGGGGCCAGCCTCTGACCGTGGCACGGCTGTTATGTTCAGACAGGATGACGGCCTCGTTGTTACCAGGGACGGCAGCTCCGGAGGGCAGGCAGGAACATGGAAGGAAGGAGTATTTCGGGATCAGCCCACACGCAGCTGTGAGTGGAGTCCCCCGCCTGGAGCCAGCTCAGGGCAGGGAGGAGCTGTCTGGGCTGCTGCATGCTGCCGCTGCATACCGCACGCGGCTCTTCGGAGGCTATTCTAGTTACAATTAGCCAAAAATGGAGCCCAACAGGCTGGAAACACAAGAATCACAATGGCCAGACCTGAGGAAACTTGCCTTGATGTTTTGGCCACAAAGAGGGAAGCAGCTGGGATGGTGTGCCACGAAAAAGAAGTTGACGTCAATTTCCTAAGTCCTTGTGACTCAGCAAGCACTTAGGATTGCCAGTTTGCTTTACAACCAGGAACGTTTGCATCCTTACAGGGGAACGGGGCAGCAGCATGTTTCATGTTTCCAGAGGACAGCACCAACACACGGCTATGCTGTAGCAGAAGATTTTAAGCCTGCCCCACAGCCAGACCTCAGGGCTGCCTGGCCTCACGTCTCAAATGGGGAATGCGATCAGCCTTCGTCTTTTGACAACAGACAGAAAAATTCTCATGAAACATATCCATGATGCTTAAAGGGATACACAAGGAGCTGTCCTGACATCCAGCTCCGCAGGGCTACACAGAGCTAATCCTGAGCCTGTGGAAAGCTCCGGACTTGAGCATCAGAGCCACTGCCAGGAAGCCTAAAGTTTATTTAGTTTCAAAAAATTTTGTTAAGCCAAGGAATGTAAACAGATGGGGCTCACAGCCTCAACACCAGATCTCCTGGGTGAGCAGGACTCGATGCAAACTGAGGGATTTAACCTGCGAATGCTCTCCGGCACAGCACTCACAAAGATAACAAGGCCATGAACCCTGTGGGAGACTACGTGTAGGAAGAAGCATGTTTATAGTGTTTGTAAGATTTGCAGGACTGGACTCCAGCACGCAACCTTTTAACTTGCTGCTTGCCTGTGACTTGCTGCAGGCTACAGAGGGAACCAGTGTCCAGGGGTTTCCAGGCTTTTTGGCTTCCTCTGAGATGGCTTCCCTCACTTGGCACAGTCCTCACTTCGGATGTGTGCTCCTCCCTTTACAAAGCAGGCTCAGAAGTCTTAGGACTGCGCTGAGTTATTATGCAGTAACTCAGGCAGCATCTTTCAGGACGTACTAAATTAAACCGTTACCTCTACCTCCAGAATTCTTCTTGAAAGACTGTTTCTACCTCATATCATTTATTAATCTCAGCTGCACTGAATTATTAAACTGAAATCCTCAATTACTCCCATCACTAAAAATACCAGTGTGGCTTTTAGACCCACGTTTCTACTTTTTACTGTAATGCATTCTTCATTTTAATTACTGGCACCACATCTCCAAAGGCCACTGTCTTATCATTGCAGGATATTTGTCAACCTAAAAAAAGGGTGACGAGTGAGTAAGTCATTAGGTGTGACAAGCAGCGAATTCCTGAAGGAGAAGGACGTGGAAAAAAAATCACATTTTCTAGGCAAACCAAAGACATGTCAAAGTGAAGGAACAGGAGGAAACATCAGCTGTGTCTGCTGCCGCAGGTGTGTGTGGCTCAAGACACTTCTTGTACTCATCACCAGACAGAGACTTAATAGAGAGCTTTCCACAGAGGGAAAATAATTTTTTTGGAAGTAAAAGTCAAGCAGAGAAACAAGAAGAGATTTACAGGGTAAGTTTTGTGCCTACAAAGATATGAAGGGCTCCCCAGGTAGTGCTCTTAAATGAAGAAATTAAGATCATTTGTTATGAATACCTATAAAATGCATAAACAACAGCCCTAGCCCAAAGTAAGCCTCATGTGGCCGATGGCACCTGCCAGTGAAGTACCACAATCCTCTGCCTGCCATTTTTGTGATTTAAGAATCTTTTTGTGATTTAAGAATGTCACAAAATTCCCGTCCCCAAGGCCAGCTGATGATCTACTTGGTGGAGGCCCACCATGAGAACTCCTCCGCACTTGTACACCACCCCACAGCAGAACTGACTTGGGAATGATAAAAGTTTCATTTGCACGAACCCCCCTCTGAGCACCCTACTGACCTGCCAGCTGCTCAGGGCAGACAGGAAGGTCTCCTGAGGAAGCAAAGGGCTGGTTGTGGCATGGGGGTGCCAGCTGTGGTAGCTTTTCTCTGACCAGCAGAGACTGGAAACCAGGACCCGCTGGCACACTCTAACGAAGGGCCCAGCAAAATCCCAGTGTGTGCAAACTGCAGCACTGCAGTCTTTACCTCAGTTGTTAGCTCACACTGAAGTCATTAATGCTTCATTTCATTGTAATGTAATTCAAATGTAATGCTACATTTTCATTTTTGCTACCTAGGCCAGCTACCACTCCTCTGCCTTGCTGTGCAGACACACCTGCATGCTGGCTGTGACGCCCTGCTCGGCTTTGTGATACGGGCATTGCCTCACAGGAGCTAGCTTTGGGTTCTCTAATGTAATTCCTGCCGGCCAGTGATCAAGAGTAAGGATCTCCAGGCGTGTGTGTAATGTCCAGTACATTTCCTAGAGAGTCAAATGCAGTAAATGGGCTTTCTTCCTCTGGGAACACGGATGTATCCAGTCATCATCTCTTTAAATTCACTTGCACCGAGTAGAACAAGAGTCATTCTCTTCTGTGTAGTTCCTTTCTTATTTGTGTGCTTTCAATTTCACTACTTGTAAAAATACCGGGACCAGCAATGACTTCAGCAAGCAGAGATAAAGTAGAAAATGCAAGGGAAGGCTCAGGAGACCACACTGGATTTTTTCCTTACAAGATAAATAATGTATTGCATTATACCTCTCATTCCCCTTCCAACCTTCTTAATAAGAAGACACAAACACAAGCCCAGCTGCACACAACCAACATCTGACAAGGTCAAAAACTTTTAACCCACAGCATATGTGGTTGTAGTAAAGGTGCTATGAACAGTAGTTTTCGGGGACCTTTACCATCAGATGGATCCTCTGGAGATAATTTCTATAAAGGCTCTGTTAGTTTTTCAAGTTAATCCAGTGCCAGCTGGAAAGGCAGGAGTAACCACTCCGGAGGCTGAGCTTCTATCTACAGAGCAGGCGTAGCACAGGGTGGGAAACACAACTTTCTCTTGTGCCACTCCCCACCAGTGAGCTTCAGTTTTGACCTGGGACCCACCACCTGCAGGCACGAGCAGCGGTTTTAAGCCTTTGACTGTCTGGAGTTACTGGATCTCCGCAGCCATCTGTGCCCTCCAAGGGCAGGGCTGGAAGTTTCATTAACTCGCCTTACCTGTTGTCTTGTTTGTTTAGAGGCTGAATTTTGATAAACAGACATAATCATCTTTCCCCGAAGTGTTTCCCAGAGTAATTCTAGCCTACAGCCAACAGGGAGAAAATGTAAATTCCTGAGATCTGCGAGATCTGCTTCTGGCTCTTCTCTTTGGGGGAAAAGAACACGGAGAAAAGAAAGGGATCTTGTCCCACCTACACACAGAGTTCCCCGTGCCCACCCATACGACAACGCTACACCAGGAGAATGCCAGCCAACGGCATGAGGTTCGACATCAGGATCACACTGTAGAGCCAGCTCTGAATACCCGCAGAAACACCGCCTGTGGCTGGGGCAGGTGTGCCTCCTACACATCTGGTACCCTTGTGCTCACCACGGCCAGGTGCTTTTATGCTCTGCTCTCTTCTTCAGTCTCTGCTTTTCTACACAGTTCTGATGGAAACGTCAGCTTGCTTCTCATTTTAAACAAGAACAAGGAAAATAAAAACACAGCAAGCATACGAACAAGAAAAATGTCTGCAAAGACCCAAACTGCAGCTGAATTTTCAAGGGCCATCAACTTATAATTCAATA